CCGCGGCGCCGTGCTGTGCGGGGACGTGCCCGCCGCCCCTCTGGAGCACCTGGCCGCGCTGTTCTCCGAGGTGAGGGTGGGCAGGTGGCCCGGAAGTCCTGCGCGGGCGGCCGCTGGGGAGGGAGAGGGGGAGGGGAGGACGGGGCGGAGAGGGGCGGGGCCGGAGGGGATGGCAAGTAAGCCCGGAGCACACCTGAGATGTGGGGGCGAGCTGGGACAAGCTGAGGAGGGGCCAGGTCACAGTGAGAAGCTCAAAGGGCTCTGACTTGCGTCCGCCCTGGTGTGGGGCCAAGCCAAAGTCAGGAGGAGGTTGAAGTCTGAAGAGTGCCTGGTGGGTCCTGACCATTCTGTAAGGCGCCCTATCTCTTAACCCCTCCGTAAACTGGCGCTGGGGAAGACAGGTAGTGATGAACAAGGGGGCAACTCTCTGGGGTCGGCGAGGCGACGGAGGTGAAAGGCTATCCACAGTGCTTACCTACGGAGGGGACTTAAAGGGAGAGGTGGTTTGGTTTTGATTTCATCTCATTCATAAATCACAAAACCATGTACCCAGTGTCAGCCCTGTGCCAAGATAAGAAGTTGAGGCATCCGGTTGGAAATGTCCCACAGGCGTTTGGAGGAGTCTGCCCGGAGCTCAGGGAGGAAGATCTCCGGAGATGTGGATTATAGCGTACTTCTGTGACACCGCAGCCCAAGCTTGGAGAGTGCAGGAGGTTTCAGAGAGGGTGCCCTAGGCGAGATTCTTGGGACATTTAGACCTTTCTGGAATGGGAGTAAACTTCCCTGTAAGATGAGTGTGTGTGTTTCGGGAGGCTTGATGCACTGGATCCTGCAACTTATAAAACAAGTATTAATGGAGTACTGGTTATCTGACGTTTTGTGTGATAGAGGCTATCGGGAATACCAAAGAAATAGAAGACAAGATCCCACCCATGCAATTCTATGTATAAAATATTTAAAAGTCCTATGACTGGGGTGGAGGTAGAACTTACTTAAAGTTGGCTGCAGCGCTGGAGCCAGGTCCTGGAGGTTCCCTGCTGGGCCAGATATTAGTCCTTTAGTTGCTTTATCAGAAAGCCCTGGGGAGGGGGGAATCCAGGGAAGGGCAGCTGGTAACAGAGTCGCCCTGGGTTGGGGGGAGGAGAACCCAGAGAAGCTAGGGTTCTCAGTAGACAGGGATGTATTTCAGTCTTTTACCAACTGCAATGGTAAAGTCACGCATTGTCTGAGCACCATCACTGCAGAGGTCCAAGCTTGGATCACATTCCCTCATGAATGATGATGATAGAAGGAAGTGGCATTGTGTTCGGAGGATAGAGACATGCGTGTAGTAGAAGAAGGATTAGGGGACATAGACATCAAGGTAACTTTCAAGGTCCTAGGAGCAGACTGAACAAAGGTTTGGACATAGAAATACACTTAGTATGTGTGGGGAATGGCAGCCCCATCTCAGAGTTGCGTCACCGCCCAAGGACATGTATCCAGCAAGCAAAAGTAATTTTAAAATAGTTCAAACCCTCAAGTGTTCCAGAATGTTCATTGGTGCATTAAAAGAGACTGGAAACAAACTGAATGTTTATCCGTAGGGGACTGGGTAAATGAATTAAGGTCCATCTATAATTAAAAGGAATGATTGCCATGGAACGGTCCTTAAGATAATTTGTATTTATTGTGGCAAACAAAACAAAACAAAACAAAACCCCACAGGAGATAAAATTCACTCTCCCAACCATTTCCAAGGGTCCAGTTGCCAACCACACACACTGTTGTGCAGCGAGTCCTCAGGAACCCCCACCATCCTGCATGACTTAGTCTATACCCACTAGACAACTCCCTAACTCCACCTTTCTTCAGGCCCCCGCACCCATCATTCTACCTCCTGTTCCTATGAACTTGACTGCTCTGGGTACCTCATATAAATGGAATCATGCAGTAGGTGTCTTTTTGTAACTGGCTTATTTCACTTCGCATCATGTCCTCAAGGTTCATCCAAGCTTGTACCATGTGAACAGAATTATTTTCCTTCTTTTTTTTTTTTTAAAGATTTTATTTATTCATTTATTTGAGAGAGTGAGAGAAAGAGAGAGCACATGAGAGGGGGGAGGGTGAGAGGGAGAAGCAGACTCCCCGCCGAGCAGGGAGCCCGATGCGGGACTCGATCCC